AGAACTTGAGCAACCCTAGTATCACCGGCTCTGTGAGGGATGGATCTTTTTCAAGGAATTGGACTACGCAGTAGGCCAGTTGTGGATGATAAGTGGACAGAGATTTCACCTATGATGAACGGATTAACAGGAGAGATTCTTTGCAACCTTGGTTTTGCTTGATTTGTCAAAGATGTGAGACATAGATAATTAGGGTATGTTCTCTCGAGATGAATACACTGAACAGTTCTAGTGTTTTTTTTTTAAATCAATAGTTCAGGGCATCCATTTATTTCAGTAATGTGAATGCATATCCAGAAAATCAAGTAAAAGTATACAATGCTTGTGATAAAAGGCTGGAATCTCAGGGAAGAAATAGTAGAAATGGAAAACTGAAAGCGAACCTTATGCAGTGGCAGTAAGACACGAAGCAGAAACGTCCTATGTTCCTCTTTCAATGGAAGCGCGAAACCATTAATAATACTTCCTTAAACAGCAAGACATGAATCCAAAACTATTTCAAGGAGCCTAGAAAACCTACCTAGTATCTCTAATAGCTCTGCAATACCATTATGCCGCTCAGTTTCGTAAATAAAACAATAGAAAATGTTGTTCATTTGCTTCCTATAAAGAAAAAAAAAGATTCAGACAATTTCTGCATATCTGTAAAGAAACTAGTGACGATAGAAAACTTACCGTATGTACGCCCTCATGCCTAAAAACTTTCCATATATCCGATGTAGAGTCGTTTTCAAAAAATCTCGTTCACGGGGGTCTTCAGAATCCATAATCATCAGGAGCTGAAAGACTGGATAGAATAAAGATAATTTTCGATAAGAAAATAAAACTAGAAAAGAAGCAGCTTTAGCACCAAGGGAAATGATATAGACAGGGATTGTACTTCATATATTTCAGAGCCAACTATATGCTGACTGGTCAGAAAATGAAAGATTTTTCCAATAAGTTGAACAGTCTTCAAGGTAATTAAGAAAAAAAAATCAATGAAACAGGTACAACCCTTCACACTATCAGGACAGAGTAATCTTACCCTTAGCATAAACTGATGGTCAATGTACTTCTTCGCAATGCTCGATTGGAAATCTGGTGATTCGAGAAAACGCAAAAAGAATTCGTAGACGAGCTGAATACTCACAAATTAATTAACACATTAGAACTTTCTAGGCCGCATTTCCAACCTGCAGATGTGGCCAAGCTGCTTCAAGGGTTGGCTCATCTTCATCGGGATCGAATTCAGCGCCAACAGGATTTGTTGGGGGCGAGAGTGGTCGGAATAGGTTCAGAGCGAACTGAAAGTCTTAGATTTTGAAGAACTACAGTAAAAGAAACAACTTCATCTGGGAATTATCATGATGGATCCAAAGGTGTCCAGCTGCAAAGTTAGGAAATTCTGATTTATAAAATTTAAACTATAATCTACCAAATCATAAATTTTCTGCTAACACTCATCTATATCCCCTTTATCTAGCTTTGCACTACCGTTCCCATTCTTTTCGCAAAATATAAACTTTTCACATTCATAATTCTAGACTGGTTCCTCCCACACTACCTCACTTCTAGTCCCCATATACACTCGCTTTCCCTCCCTATGTTTGACAAATCCACTTAGATCTAATGGCTTCAAAGGGACCGCACGCTGTTTGTTTACAACGCAAAGCCGGAGCTCCACGATTAGAAACCAATCAAGCCATAAAAACGTTACCAAGGGAGAAGAATTACAAACATACCATATTGACTGCTTCTGGATAGACGTTTTCAGTGATCACTTCTCTACAGGTCGATACGTAGTCGATCAGTTCATTCAATGCAGCTCTTTTAACCT